TGTATAAGTTTTCTATATGCCCTAATTGCAGCTTTAGTTTCCAAATTTCCAGCGTTAATAAGCTTGAACATTTTTAACGTGTAAGAGCTCGAAGTGTAAGTCAAAAAAATTAAAATATTTGTATCACTCAAGAGCTTTCTTAATTCTGAAAGATGAAGATAAGCTAATTACTTTAAAACTTTAAAGGTGGTTTCTGCCCTTGTAGGTAGTATATTATTCTTTATTATCAACTAAATCAGAATATGTCTTATAATAACTGCTGATCTGACTGACACATGCTAATTGTAAGGTACAGTGTAAGACACCTGAAATGTGCACAGACACCAGTGTGTGGTTTTGTCACACTGTTTGTAGTTATTTAAATTTTCTCTTCAGAGGATAGTCTGTGTAAGGCTGTTTTAAGTACCTTTCTGTTGAATGTGCTGATTGGTGATATTTAAAAATTTGATTCCTTCCACCTAGGAGCAAACCCCTCTCAGCTCCAGAAAGTCTCTGTGGAAGAGTGTTACCCTGGATCTAGGTCAGTCCATCTGTGGCTTTCAGATCTGCTGACTTTGGCAGGTGTGGGCTCCCTGGTTTTGTGGCAGTTATCTGCTCCAGACCCTGGAAGCTTTCACATCCCAAGCCATAGGGCTGCAGTCCAGTGATGCGCTTCCCAGAACTGTGGAATCTGGAAGAGCAGGCTTCTCAGCAGCCCTTTAGGCTGGATGATGAGCAGCTCACCAGAAGCCTGCCTGGCTTCTGCTGGAAGCCGAGCAGGATGGAATCAGATACATTTTCTTTGCCAAATCTGCAAATTCTGACCATGTAAATTGTTCTTCTGGTTAGTTCTGTTGTGGTGAAAATAGTTTGGGGTTCTGAAACACAGAGAAATGTGATGACCAAAGCAAAAGATACTGAAGTTTTGGAGAATTATGCTTATAAATAGGAAAGACAAGCAAGAATGAATGGATTCTGTTTCCTGCATGTATAAAATAAATGAAAAATACTGTCAGGAAGGTTCTCTAAGATTTAGTACTGGGCACATGCATTTGTTGTGGTTTACGTATTGAACGCGAAAACAGCAATCTGCTTCTCACATAGGCATTTTATTAAGGCAGTTAGAGGGAAGTAGCAAAGTTTTGAGAAAAATGAATGTGTAGAGAGTCGGATAAAGTCATATGCAAAGGTCATTTTTTAAAAAGAAGGGAAATCACTCTTTCTGTGTCATCATGTATATCAAAATTCTGGGAAATAGAAAAACTTTATCATGTGAAAACTTAGCATGTTTATGAAAAGCTTTTCTGGAAAGATTTTTCTAACTGTTTATTGACATTATTGATAATGTATTTAAATTGGTAAGCAGTAAAGCACCAACCTGGGAAAACAGAGCATAGCATTAGAATGTTATTGAGTGACAATTTATCATGACAGTGTTGTCTGATTGCAACACACCTCCAGTTTCACTTTCTGATATGTATGTATAGCTATTTAATTTGGTTGTAAGTCACGTAGGAGGTGTTTCTGGCTGCATAAGTATGTCTTTTCAGGTACATTATTGTATTCTACATCTCTTTGGACTTGCATATAGCACACTACGCTTAACAGCAGAAAGGGTCTTCCAGCTGGCTGAAATAAACTGGGAAGTAATTGTTATAAAATACGGAAAGATATTGAAAATGTCATTAGTTTTCCCTTTTGGAGGAAGGTTTCCGCTTTTAGTATGACAGAAGGTATTTCTTGCACTCATTCAAGTGCTGCATTCCAAGAAAAAAATTGTGACTAATACAGAGAAAGCTGCATAAAGAACTAGCAAGGATTAGACAACAGCAGCTGTACTTCTGAATAATTTAGGTTTAATTTGCAAAATTATACAGGAAAGGCTTATCACTTGTACTTGCATTTGAGGAAGTGGAGCTACAAGTGTTGTTATAAAAAGTGACAATGTACAAACCATCTAAAATCACACGGGGGCTGTTGTGTTGCTTTGGGCTGGATCCTGCAGAGCTGTGAGCCAAGACACTTGTGGAATCATGAGTGGGGAGTAAACAGTGTGGGAAGAGCTTCCTTTGTCTAGATATGCAGCAGAGTAGAGCCCTTCCTGAGAGTTCAAACTAATGCTTGGGAGTAATGTCTGTCAGGTGCACCAGATGACATACACACCAGCTTGCTCCAGAGGGGTTGATTAATTCTGTTATTGTTATATATTTATAGTTATTTATAGTAAAAGATCCCAGAGGACTTCCAGCCCCTTTCTTCTCCTGGAAAGTATGTGGCAGTCAAGAGCACTCACTGCTTCAGGCATATTTGCCTTTTGATCAAAAGCAAAGTTGATTGTCCCACTTTTCCCTAAGCCATCCTGCCCTTCAGCTACAAGGTATATGCAAACCAGGAAAAATGCCTTGCACTGCTCTCTCCTGCCTCAGTATTGGCAGTGACGTTCCATATGGTTAAGGCAAGATTTTCCTCGGAATGGTTTCCTGTTCATATTTTGAAGGCATTCTAATTTGTAAGCTGCAAATTCTGCATCAAATACTTATTATGATGTTTCTTTAAAAATTTACATTAATATATAAATCAACGAGTTACAAAGACTGTAATTCCATAATTTCCAATGAATCTCCATGAATTCCATAATTTCCATGAATTCATCAATATTGGCAGAGATAATGATTTTGTCCTGGCCTTGCCATCCTCTGATCACACAGGTGAACCTCAGTAACCAGCAGGTTGGTTATACTTGGTGCTGTGTGCTACCAGGAGGTACCTGTGGTCGTGTGAGATCTCTGCAAACGATGCTCACCTGCACTCCAGGCTTGCAGGGATCTGTGCAGCCTGGGCATGAGACTCTGAGGGTTTTAAATCCAACTTTTACAGAACAAAAAGAGGGAAAAATCCAAGTTACTGTAATAATAGGGTACACACAGGTAATTGAAGTCAGGAGCAAGAAAAGAATTCTTGGATTAGTACAAGAACTTGGTGCATCTTCTCAAATTCAGAGTCAGAGCACAGAAACAGAGGGAGTTTCTGTAAGTGGGAGAATGGTCTGGGACAGTCAGAGAACCCTGCTGGAATCTCACAGGGTGCTGTTCCAGACAGGAAAAAGAAGCAAACCACGTGTAAAGTTTATTATACTCTCTAGATCTCAACAAACCTGTGAAGTAGAACACCTGAGAAGCTTGTACAGTAAAACTATGTGGTCAGGACTTCTGGAGATGGGCTGAAGTAAAAAAGAGTCTGACTATAAAATACTCAGTGCATCAATTTAGATTCCCACTAATTTGCAGAGTTAGTAATAGGATTACAGAGCCTCAAGTATTTGTCTACGATTACCATAGGGCAGTGAACTATAAAAATCACCATCTTTTTATTTTTTTAACAAACAATGGTATAAAGTCTTTATTTTTTTTCTGAAAAATCCTTGTGAAATCTCTCAGTTTCCTTTCTACATGTTGATTAAAATAATGTAGCATGAATTCTGCATTTGAAATTATGAATGAGGCTCATCTTTGAAATCTCTTAGAACCACATTGGTTTTTAATTAATTATCTCTTGAATTTTTGATGCAGAAGTGAAAGACCTTTCACAATGTAGTTCCTTTCCTGGTATGTTTTTACAGAGAGAAATCCTAAGGGATGTAAAAGCAAAACTCATAAAAATTATCTCACAAAATAGTTTGATCAATTTTTTATCAAATAGTACTCGTAGGCTATTCATAGTACCCTACTAGTTAGGAAACTCTTGGAAAAGTTCCTTTTATCTTGGAGCCACGTCAGTCTTTGTGACCAAGTTATGAGTTCTTCCCATCTCATTCCAATCTTTGTTGCTCTTTGTTCTGCACACAATCCACAGATGTCACAAATTCTCTAGTTTAAGACCAAAAAAAAAAAAAAGCCTCCACAAAAGCAGTGAAGATGACATCCCATAATGGAGGGTGCTTTTATACACGGATTTAAATATGAGGCATAAATGGAGAGCATATATTAATGTGTGAAGCTGATGATTGGTATCTCCTTAATTACTTGCAGGATGAAATGGAGAAGGTCACTCCTCACTGGTAAATAGCAGAGCACTTGGACTTTTCATTCTGAGTCTCCCACAGTCTTCCTACTTGATCCTGCACTGCCAAATCCCCCAAAAGGCAACCAGATTCTCTGAAAGACTTACAGAAAGGTACAGTACTGTGTTTATGAACTTTTTCACAGTCTTGAGCGGGACACGTAAGGAAGATGCACTGTCTAGTTTACAAGAAAAGTAAACATTATCTAGTTTCATGACATTTGAGTAATGTGATGAATATGGAGTATTTTTAATTGTTTTGGGTTGTTTTTAATCTCAGAATTGATCTTAAATTAAGATCAAGATCTACATAAAAATAGCTAATTCCTATTTTATATTTTGTTTGACTTTACTCTTGAAAGCACAGTTCTGATTTGAAGAGGAACTTCAGATGTAGTATCTAGTATCAAATCTAGAATCTAGTAACTTTCTAGCAACACACCTGATTTGCGCAGCCAGTTCAATGGTGAAATTTAGCCTTTTTCTTTTTTTTTTTTTTGTTTAGTTTTTCTTATGCTGAAAATCCAACACAGTTAGATGAATGTTGAATTGCGTTTCTTGCTGTTTATATCACCAGAAACATCCTCTATCTGAGCTACATTTCTCCTAGAATTCTTTTTTACCTTCGTAACTCGGAAGCCATTAGAGAGCTGATTAATTGTGACCAAGGATGTGACTTTAGGCTCAGGTACAAGCTGAGACAAAACCAGCATTTTAGAACAGGTAGCTATCAAGAAATCAACAAAACGTTTTCAGAGCGCTGGGAGAGCCTGTTTGACACGTGAGAGACTGCAGGACATCACCCGGGGCGAGCGGACGAAGAACTTGGCTCCCGGAGAAGGGGGGGGGGGGGGGGGGGGGGGGGGGGGGGGGGGGGGGGGGGGGGGGGGGGGGGGGGGGGGGGGGGGGGGGGGGGGGGGGCTATAGGAGATTATTCCATCAGCGGGGTAACTGGGGCAGTTCACCCGGCAGGGACACCCGAAACCGGGCGCCGGGGACGCGCGAACCCGGCCGGGAGGAGTCGGGGCGGGGGCGGGCGCTGCCCCGGCTGCCCCCCGGGCGCGGCCCTGCCCCGCGGCCCCTCCCCGCCCGCCCACTCGCCGCGGGAGCGCCGCGCACTGCGAGCCGCGATGGGCGCGCTGGGCACCGCCGGCTGCCTGGTGCTGCTGCTGTGCGGGGCTCTGGCCGCCGCCCGCGCCGCCCCGCGCAGGACACCCGCCTTCGACGGGCAGGTGGAGGAGAACCGGCCGGCGGGCACGCGTGTGCGCGGGCTGAGCATCCCGCTGACGCGGCTGGGGCCCGAGCCCTGGTGCGCCAAGGTGCAGGGGCGCCGCTGGCACCTGCAGCTGCTGGGCGAGGGGCACTCGCACTTCCAGGCGGCGCTGGACGCGCGCACGGCCCGCGTGTGGCTGCGCACCCGGCGGCCGCTGGACCGCGAGGCGCGGGCGCTGTACTCGCTGCGCCTGGCGCTCTGCTGCAAGCGCTGCGCGCCCCGCGGCGCCGCGCCCGCCGAGCTGGCCGCGCTCACCGTGCGCGTCCTGGACGACAATGACAACGCGCCGCGCTTCGTGGGGCCGGGCCCCGCGCAGCTCCGCGTGGACGAGACGCTGGCGCTCAAGTCGCAGGTGTGGCAGGCGCGGGCCGAGGACGCGGACGCGGGAGCCAACGCGGAGCTGCGCTACTTCGCCCTCCCGCGGAGCGCGCACTTCTTCGTGGTGCCGCGCAGCGGGCGGGTGGTGCTGGTGCGCTCCCTGCTCCACCTGCGGGCGCCCATCCCGCTGCGCCTCTACGCCCGGGACCGCGGGCGGCCCGCGCTGCTCAGCGAGCCCCTGGAGCTGGAGGTGCTGCCGCAGCCCAAGCGCCTCCCGGCGCCCCCGCCCCGCCGCCGCCGGGCCGCGCTGCCGCCCGCCGCGCCCCTGGCGCTCGCCCTGCCCGAGGATGCCCGCCCGGGCACCCGCCTGGCCACGCTGGCCCCGGCCCGCTTCGCCGCCGCCTGGTTCGAGCTGCTGTCGCCGCCCGTCGAGGAGTCGCCGGTGCGAGTGGAGCGGGAGAGCGGAGAGGTGATGCTGAGCGCGGCCCTGGACCGGGAGGCGGCGGCCGCCTGGGAGATCGTGGTGCGCGTCCAGGAGCGCAGAGGTGGGTGCGGAGCGGGTGGGGGGACGCGGGGGTGCCACCGACACGGGCGGCGGCATCCGCCAGGGAAGTTGCAACTTACTCAGAGTAGTGGTCTTGTCCCATCAGCTTTTGTCCCCGAGTGACAACCAGCACCAGGTGGTTTAGCGTCAGGTGTCACATGCTGCTGTGTTGTGGAATGTAGTTTTGGTTTTTTGAATTTGTAAAGTGTTAATATTAAAGCACTGGAAGTGACAAGAAGCGTTACATGGCTTAGGGAGCGTGGACTGTAGAGCTTCGTGGCAATGCTTGGAGCAGCAGGGTGTTTAGCAGAGTTTAACCAGTTAAAATTCTTAGTTATTAGTGAGTGGCCTAGGAAATATGTAACATTTCACAGAATATTCTGAGTTGAAAGAGACCCACAAAGTATTTTGTCTGTATTACCTGTATGTCAAGGCACAGCATGTTAGATACACCACACTTCTTACCCACAGGTGTTTGCTATTAAAATGTTCCGTGTAGTTCTCATCCTGTAAATGCCTAACTTGAAGCATGCAGCTTGAAGTCACTCAGTTTTGAGTCATTGTTAAAGTTGTGTGTTCGACTCACAGGTACAAGATGGGTCTGTACAAAAATGGAACCTTTGCATTTATGTGGAGGCTTTAAAACAAACAAACAAAAAAAAACCAACAAAACGGAGAAGTCCAGCGTGCGTTGTTAAAATGGCACGTTTGTGACTTAAATTGTCCTCGTTTGCAGGGTCTTACTCAAGCAGAACAGTTAAGTTCATTTGCTGATTGCATCTACTACTTTCAAAAATCCTGAGTTTTTAAATGCCACCTTGGCTAATATTTTTCACCTGTGAAAATACAGCTTAGTTT